CTGTCTTCCCCCTGCTCCCTACAATGGTGTATTTCAGCCAACCTATCTGTTATGCTCCCCATTCTGTCTCTGGTGAATCCTCTCACTCACCACACTTATGGCCTGTACCCCAGTTTTCATATGAATAAATAAATAAATCTTTAAAAAAAAACTACCTGATACAGTTTAAAATATTTTGAGATAAGACATTATATTACTTGAGTATATATGAGTCTGTCCAAGTGAGAAATTTCTCTAAATTTGAATAAATTTAGAGGTGATTTCCTATGTAATGATCTGAAAGAATCAAGAATGTAGCAAAAATCTGGACAGAATAATTCACTGTTGTACTTACTTATAACACACCAATGATTCATATCTTACTTATCGCTCTTGGAAATTGGATATCATCCAACATGCTCAGAAAAGGGGAGAATCATGCCAAGTAAAAAGAATGTCAACTTTTATCATTGAATTAACTTCTGTGACTCTCCCATGACAAAATCAATAGTTTTAAATATCTTGCTAAAGGCTGTTGCACTGTCTCTTCTTGTATGAAAATCTGGCCATCCCTAAACACTATGTGATCTTAAAGCACTCTTATCCTCATTTCTTACACATTTGAGAAAACATTTTCCTGTTTCATAAATTAGTAAATTAAATTGCATACCAACATAAACTAATCTCAGTGTTTTCCAATCTCATTTTCTTTCTCTCATGGTAAACATCAATTCCCTATTTCATTACCATGGTCTTGTTATGAATATTGGATGATTTCTTTCTCATTTCTTGAGATTTTGCAGCTCTGAATCCTCTAAATTTTCATATCTCGTGTGTCATGCATTTATTTTTACTTTTGTAATGACAACTATTAACTACTTTGTGCTTCTTCACTGCTTAACACATTATTTACAAATCTTTGTTTGATATTTTATTTCCTCACAGTATGGCTATAGCTTACTTGTCTAACATTCTTTTGCTACCTTACATGAATGTACTTCTCAGCCAAATTGGTTCCCTCCCTTTTTATATCTGCTATGTTGTTCATGGCAGTGCCTCTATTTGAAATGCCTTTTACCCATTTGACTGGGCAAGCGCCTCCTCCCCATCATCAAAGTCAACTCTTATGCTATATTCTTTTTTTTTAATAATATAATAGTTTATTTTTACATCCTTTTGTGCCATTTTCTATCTCAGTTGTAATCCCCATGGACTTCCCATGACAATATCACCCATGTGCCATCACCATAGTCCAGTGCATTTCCCTCCCCCAATGTTTTTGATCCCATCCCCCACTCCACCCCCATAAAATGTGCTGGTATATAGCTGTTCATTATTATTATTATTATTATTATTTTCTCGCCTGGTCTGTTATACACCTGCTATGAGTGAAACCATCCAGTATTTTTCCTTTATTTAGTTCAGTAATTTTTTATACCTCTTAGCTTACCATCGCTTTCTGCCTGGCATTACTGACACCTGTCTATCAGTCTTTGCTACTAGATGATATGAGGTAAATGTCCAAGATTAGTGTAATTATAATTATACATACGCACACACATATATCTTCCATATACCATATATCATCCATATTACTTCTTGTAACATGACATTATCACCTCTTTCATTGGTATTTTATTCTACTTTTTCTAAATGAAAATACTATCATAACATAACCATCTTACACGACAGAGTTCATTTACAAAGTTGTGACAACAAAACCTCATGGATATCGGCATGAAAGGAAACTCACAGTTCTGCCCATATGAAATAGCAGCGGTGCTTTCAAACAGTTTTAATAAGATTTACTATATTAAGACAAAGGACCATGACTTCATTCTTACTAACCTCAAAAGCATAATAAACCACAGTCATTTTGGGCATTAATCCAATTTTACCATTAACATTCTCATAATTTTTGATTAAGGAACATTGCAAGACTTCTGTAATTAAGGGAAGTGCATCAGAAATTTATTTCCTGTCTACAGTTTGTCATATTCTGAAAAATACAGAAGTTCTATGAATATCCATAACCCTGCAGGATGGCAAAATATCTTACTGTACAACATGTACTGTGATGGGAAGTATCTAAAATCACTTGCAGTCTCAAGTCCAAATTTTTATCTCAACAAGTAACAAATTGAGTTAAAATATTTTGTGTGTATAGTGAATTTCAGAAGAATAACAAGGTGGCTGTATTTTATTGCTATTTGTTCTAGACTTCATCAGTGCATAGAAATATTTTAAAATACTATTTTATTAATATTGTTTTATAATATTTTGCTACCTTCTGTAATCATGGATTAACTATTAATACAAGTAGGGATCAGCAAATATATTTAACTTGCATTTATAGTAGCCCACTATCATCTAAGAATATTTTGAATGGTTCAGTTATGGTATAGATATTTTTGCTATTTTGATTTACTACTCAATTCTTCTCTATGACAGTTTAGAGAAGATAAAAATGTTTCTCAGTGAGATTCCACTTGATGTGGATGCTTATATATCTGAAAATTATGAAGTTTTTTTCTACTGGCTTCCTTTAAGTTTTTTTTCTATAAATATTTTGCCCTAATATATATTTTTTAATTTCTGCCAATTTAAGTCACTATATAACACATAGCAATGTTTAATAAAATATGAAGGCAGAAAATGTAAAGGCTATAGTGGAGCTTACAATTGCTCTCAGTGGTCTAAGTCAAAAGAAAAATCCTAGTGATTAGTTGCGGGCTGTGCTGCTTGTGGCCTGGTCGAATCTGGAGGAATGGGATGGGAAGAGGGGGAGTTACAATTTCTCCAGAGCAATGAAAAATCAGTCATTTTACACTGATACCAGGAACAGCCCACTGTTTGAAACTAAGGTTAGAGGCCTCTTCCCCTTCTGGAGGGAGTGAAAAATCTACTACTGCTTGAGACTATAGTTTGTGAACTAAAGCTAGCAGGATGAAGACAAGCAGCCTTAAATAAGAACTGAACCAAATTGCATGCTAGTAATAATCCAGATGTTATATTTGAATCAGTGGTATAAAACTGTTTACAGATAACTGGACCTGGGTACAAAATGAACAGAAATCATTTGTAGAAGAAGGATGATAAGAGGATGGAGATGCATCAAAAATTAAATCAATAAAAAATAAATTTAAAAAATCATCTCACTTTGAACTTGTAAAAGGGAATCCCAAAACACATGATGAAGGCTAACTTAATGCAAGAGTGACTGAAATTGGCAATTGAAAAATAAATTTGACCCAGAAGAAATTGAAATATTGAAACAGCTTGGGAAGTATATATTTTATATGCTTGAAATAAAAACAAAGGAAGATTATCCAAAACCCTTGAAAAATCTCCCTACCTTTTTTTTATAGATGACATTCCTTTGTTTATATTTCAAACATTGCATTTGTCAGGCTGTTTTAATCTTTTCAATTGTCAGTTTCATTGAGTCTTCTATGTACTTTGTGATAATACTTCAGAATATTAAGTATAAACAGAAAATCTTAAACTGTAAGAGAAAAAATGTAGACTAACCCCAAAACAAAAACAACTAGATATTAATTAGACTCCAATAACTGTATTGAGAAAAGAATGTGCTGTCAATCTAGATTCTAGAATTTCATGCCAGAGTATACCAGTGATACTGATTCAAATTATTAATTGAATAATCTTCATTAAGAGCTGAATACTCTTGAGGAAGTATACCTAGAATGAAAATATAGATTAAAAAAATAAAGTGGATGGCACATGAATAATTTGGTGATGGAAAGCCCAAGGGGATTGCAAATGAGATGAAAAAAATGCACAAAATGATGTAAAAATAAACTATTATATATAATAAAAATAATAAAGTAGAAGGAAAACATCACATTTAATCCTTACTATTAAAAGTACCTAATTTGTATATAAAAGAAAATGAAACTATATAAAAGCAAGAAGTACAAACAGGCTAATAGAAGAGAAAATACAGATAGCCAACTAATGTGTGCAAAATGAAAATAAAACATGAAAGGTTGATATTCTGATAACATCAGTGTTAACAAGAATAGAAAAGAAGGATCACATTTATTCAAGAATAGAAAAGAAGGATCACCTCCACTTAGGCCAGTAGTACTGGTGATCTGGTAAAGCAGGAAAGATTAAAAATCCAGCTCTGGGGAAATATTTATATTGGGGAGGGAGAATTGATAAACAATGGCAGTTGAGAAGGTTGAGCAAGGGATACAGGTAAGTACCTATATCTACACTGTCTATATATATATGTGTGTGTGTGTATGTGTGTGTGTATACATTTTACATCATTCTTTATTTTGTACATTTTTTCATCTCAGTTGTAACCCCCCTTGGGCTTCCCACCACCACTTCACCCATGCACTGTTTTGTTTTTTTTAATGGTGAATTAAAAGTGAAGAATGTAAAGATTTCTTGAAACATAATGGTGCATACATGGGTTTTCATACTGTTATTCTAAATGTGTACTTGTATAATTGAAATACTGGGAACTTTTAGGAAAGTGTGAAATTTTATGCACAGCAGTAATGAATCTTCACTTCAGTTTGCAGTTTATACAAATGTCAAGTCTCTGTTGTCTACCAAAAAATAAAAAGTTCTATTATATCTTAATAAAAATACAAATATAAATAATCTACAAGTTAACGCCCCCCACTCCTTACTTCACCTTTTCCGCTCAGGAGCCATAGGTACTTCTGGGATCAGACTGGGTGTCAGATCATGCATGGAAATGTCCTAGGGAATCAGAATTAATTACAATCACCAATTTTGGTTGCTGTGCCATCTGAAAATGTTTTCCTTTGTATTTAAGAGCTGCATACACTAGTCTCATTAACAATAAGCTTAATTTTCATTTTGGAAGTTACACTGAGAGTAAAAGCTGTTGAACTTAATTACAAATTGTTTTTCTTGTGATGAGAATGTTTAAAATCTACTCCTTTAACCAACTTTGAAGTATAGAATAAATACTACAGTAGTAAGTGTGGTCACCATTGTTCTTTGGATTCTTGCAGGGCATTCTACTTAGACAAGTCAAACTCACCACCAAACTCCACATCCAAAGCTGCCTATGTAGATAAGGTAAAAACAGATGTTTGCATATTTTGACCACTATTTATCTACCTGCCTACTTAATTTTTCTGCAGTTGTTATTGAGCAATGTTTAATTAGAGACCTTTGTGGCCTCCGGTTCTGATATTTCCATAATAAAATATTTTAGGTTACTCATTAAAAACTGTAACAACTGTGAATTGTGTCCCATCCAAAAGGATTTCTTTCTGCTAAACATGTTGAACTTTTTGTTCATCTCTTTTTTTCTGCAGCTCATGAGGCCTCTCAATGCCTTGGATGAGCTTTATCGACTGGTAACCGCATTTGTCAAGTCCAAGCGCACAGCTGTGTGTGCAAACACGGCTTGCAGCGCCTCTGGAGTTGGGCTGCTGTCAGTTTCCTCGGAGCTGTGCAACAGGCTGGGTGCCTGCCACATCATCATGTGTAACAGTGGTGTGCATCGGTATGTGAATTTACATGTGGAGGTTCTTGTTCACATCTTGGCTCCACGAACTTATAACAGAGCCCTTCAAAGACTCAGATATATTTGGTATAAGATTTTGGAAATGAGATAATCCTCGCTCAATGCTTTCTCATTTTAGTTCTTACATTTTCAGTGACATCACAAAAGTTGATGCCATTCCACATTTCAAACAAGATGATGCAGAATCTTTCTTCTCTTGTATTTCTATTAACAGAATTATACTTCAGGTATAAATTGTGCATCTTTTTTTTTTTTTTTCAGTATGGAGCTGACACAGCCAGTTAAACTCTGTAATCACTGCACTTAATGGATATTCTACTTCACATTACCCAGTTACCCAGTTGTGGGTTCAGGGCTGCCTTTGGGTTACTACTATCTTCTACTCCTGACAAAATTATGGCTCAGGAGCTCATATAGTATGTTCTTGAAAATTTAAAGGGGTCTCTTTGATTTGTTCTATTCAGGTGGTTTGTCTTAGGCACTGGTGGTTTGTGGGGAAAGCAGTGAAGGGAGCTAAATGAATTATTGATAGAGCACGTCAGACTTGAAATGACAAGTCAACTCCTTCATAATCACTAGCTCCTCTTCTCTTACCTCTCCATTTTCACAGGGAAGTGAAACTATGTAGGAGGAAGTAATAAGACACTATTAGTGCTTCATGTAATTCGAGTTGTCAGCAAGTCTTCTGTCATTCATCATAGTCTCTTCTAAGTACTAGGCTGGTAAGATTTTAAAGATGATGGTTTATCGTTCATTCAGATTTACCTATCATTTAATTCTACAAAATATTGCCTATCATTTAATTCTACAAAATACTGCAGCTGGTGCTGTGGACTCTGTAGTCTCTTAAAGTCATGATCCTCATGTTAGATTTAAAGCATGAGCATATAACAGCAAAACGATAAGAAGAAAAACAGTAAAATAACTGAAGCATTATAAAAAGTAACAAGCCTAGACTGTCAGAAAATGTAAGAGACCTAAGAAAGTTATAGCTGAGAAATAGCATCTGCAACTGAATAATTATTTTATAATGTTTTTATAAGCAGAGAAATGGTTTTTTTCTGATACTCATTTTTATTAATTTTTTTCTATTCATTCATTAAGTATGCATTGAACACCAGTTAGGTGCAAACACTGTTCAGTTGCCAGGGATACATCATTGGGATACTAGAAGCCCATATTCTTATATAATGTGCATTGCTTAGAGTGGGAAGGATTTATAACGTAAACAAATATATAGGTAATGTGGTCAGTAGAATAAAAACAAAACAGAGGTCAGAGGGTCAAGGAGGTGACAGGATAGGAAGAGGGATAGGAGCACCTTCCAACAGAGGATTTTGAAACAGCAGCAAGCAATACAGGTGTGGTAGCTTACGTAGGATTAAGCTCCCACTTAATATGCATGATGTATCCAGGGACCAGCATAGGGGCCATTGTAGCTTCAGCAAAGTGCCATTCATTACCTTGATTATTTGTTTGCTTATTTTATTCTGGTGTAAAATTATAATCATCTAATGGTCAGATACACTGTGACAGTCAAAAAGACTTCAAACTTGGAAACTATAAGCATGCTTTTACTTCCACATTAATTTACTGGAAGTTAATGCAGTTTCATCTGCCATTTAATCCTAGAACCATGACCAAGCTGTCCAAAGTATTCTGGGATGATCCATGAGCAATTTTAGAATTTGCTAGGTGTGTTGTAGGGAAGATTGATGTCCCACAACTATTTTACAGTTGCTGTATTCATGGGTTGATTAAAATCACAAGTAACTTTGAAATTTCAAGGTAGTTTGAATTTCTTTCTATGATTCATAATAAATTTAGTTTAGCCAATATGAGTTTCTTGGTCACCCACAGTGTGAAAGAATTTAACTGAATTCCACTCTGCTGGAAGCTGGCATCAGATTTCACAGGTTCAATGTTTGGTTTCTTAAGACTGATCTCCACTTAAGGCTCTAGCTCCATGGAATATGCACTGATCTGTATTTCCCACCAACTAGCCACAGATATGAGTGTCAAACAATCCCGTTCTTGGGGTCAAACAATTTCTGGAATGACTCACAGAACTCACAAACTTAGTTACTCACTAGATCATTGACTTATTACCAAATAATAACTAAGAAACAGCCAGGTGGAAGAGATGCATAGGACAAATTATGGGGGAAAGGCTTGGAGTGCTCTCCCTCTCTCTGGGGACACTGTTTCCCCAGATCTCCATTTTGCTTACCGACCAACAAGTTCTCTGAAGCTCCTCCTTTTGAGTTTTTATGGAGACTTTGTTACATAGCCGTGATTAATTCAGGCACTGATTCAACCAAGAATCACTCTCTCCACTCTGGAGGTCTGAGAGTGGGGCTGGAAGTTCCACCCTCTATTCCTGTCCCCCTCTATTTCCCAGGCAGCCAACATCCATCCTCGGTGGTTTTCCAAAGGCTACCTCTATTAATATGGCAACAGATACTTTTATCATTCACACACAAAATTCTAAGGAATTTAGGAGCTATGAGCCAAGAACTTTGGATAAATCAAATAAATATATATGAAAAATAGATTTAGCCATCTGAATGACCTAATATAGATATGTATACATACACACACACACATATATACACACAATATAAGTATTTCATAAAAATCATATTATCAGCCCTCCCTGTAGTGCAGTGGGTTAAAGTGCAGCACTGCAAGCTGGTTGCAGCCACTTCAGAGCAAGTTTGATTCCCAGAGGTGACCCACATGGCACAGCAGACCTCTCCAGCAGACCTGTCCATCCACTGCTCCCCTTAGCTGTATATTTCGTTGATCTGCTTGTTCTGCTCCCCACTGTCTCTGGTGAATCCTCTCACCACCTCTGCACCTCTGACCTGTACCCCAATTCTGTATATATAAATAAATAAATCTTTTTTAGAAATCATATTATCATAGGAGTTTAAGATTATATTTAATTTTTCAGTGCAGACAATGCTTAGATTTTTCATGATTAAATTTGTGCTAATTAATATTAGAATCACAAGCTCCATGTAAGACTTTCTAAAATAATTCATCAGTAGTATAATTTAGACAGAGAAGAACTATAGTGATCTACACCTGCACTAAACATTAAACGTGGAAATTCACCTTTACATTCCAACAAGAGAGGATTTCACCAAATAAATCAGAATAAATATTGCAAAAACTATGTTTGTTACTTTTGAAATCAAGATTTTAAATGGTCTACAATATGAGACCAACATTAGTTTTTCTTTTTCCAATTACTTGCAAAAATAAGGTAATCTAAAATATTTTTTAAATAGTGAGTTATGCTGCATCTGTATCATATTAAGAAGAATGCTATTTTTTTTCAGAATAAAAGGCAGGTTTAATTAGCATTAATATCTAGTTATTTTAATGCCAACTTAAATTAGATGCCAGAGCTGTGTACAATAGTAAATGTGAGACTACTAGGTATAGAACTCAGAATGAGTAATGACAGTTTCTTCATAGCATGGAGTCTGAATTTGTTTTTATTAAATTCATTTTTCTTGGTAATCGTTTGTGTATATCATAATCCTGATGAACTTCTCTGCACTCTCTTCCGCTGTTCACTTACCTTAAATATCTCCATTATTACTAAATAGTGGAAGAATAGGACTACCTCTTTTTAAGTCCTGGTTTTTGCCATGTAGACCCTGAAAACATCAAGAGGCAGTTTAGTAAAAGTGGAAAATTTCCAGAATATCCTATCCTGAAATCCTATTCCTTCATTGTCATTTTGCATCATTTCTTGTAACTTCTAATGATGTACATTTGAACATTTTCATTAGTATATGTAGTTTAATAATCTCCTTTATGATTATGCAACATTATTGTATCTTTAAAGTGTACATGTATGTTTTTACTTTTATTTGCCACATAATATTCCAACAGTTTGGTACACCACAGTTTACTAAGATCCTAGCTTTTGGCTTTCTTTCTCCATAGCATGTAATGCCTCCAGAGAGAGGCACTTATATTTATACAGCTGTTAAAATTTTATTTTGTATTAAGCTAAAATAAATCCTCCAGATAGAATTATGTAAAAGATTGTACCTTTTTTATTTTATTAGTATATTTTGGTTAACTTCCCAAAGAGATCATGTACATTAATAGCATAACCAAAAGATTAGTTGTGTTACATTTTTATTTTTGCTGTATCTGCTGAGAACATTAAAATCCATTTACCAATCGTATTTCTTTCCTTGATGTACAATGATACATCAATATACTTTATACTTCTTTGACTAACATTCGAATATCTTTTGAAATTCCTTCCCTACAAAATTTTGTGCTATATGTTGTCCACATAGCCACTTATAGGCAAAATTACTCTTTGCCAAATTGAACATTTTAAAGAATTGAATCAGCACTGTGACTTTTAAAATGTCTTTTGTACTCATGCCAGTATTTGTTGCAGGCAATCTAAAAACTTGCTATACATATTTCTAAATTTCCCTTTTGTTTCTTACTGCAGTATCCTACTACTCAATGAGGTATTTTATTTTGTTTTGGTTTTTTATTCCCCTGCTTAAGAGCTTACTGTTTTTCTTGAGCCAATATAAATCAGTATATTGCAAATGTTATAAAACCTGAAGCAGTGAGTTTTATTGTGTCCAAAAAACAAAGATCCTCTTTCCTCCCACTACATTAATTTCTGCTTCCTTACCAGTGGAACAAGTGAGTGGAAATTTCCAGAGACTACCTGAAAAACTGCATCAAAGAAGTTTCTAGTAAGAACAAGTAATCTCGAATCACATTCGCCCCCTCTCGTTCTGGAGTTTCTAATCACATACTCCATCTCTCTTTTTAGTAGTAGTGAGTACTCAGTGGTAGCAGCCTGATTCTGATCCTGGAGGAAGGTGGGTGGTCTGAGTACAGGTGAAGGACTTATGGTTCTTACTTGTGATGCCCTTGAACCCAAACTTGGAGATCTGTATACATATATTGCCTGATATCTTCTG